AAAATTTTTTAATTTACTTAAATGGTTCTATATTTCTACTGGACAGTGGTAAATAAGATGGGGATGGGGTAGGGCAGTTTGAGAAAAGATTTAATTGGTTTGTTAACTTTTTTATTTACCCCAGACCCTAAGGGTAGAATATGAGAGTAAGTTACAAAAAACCAAATACTGCTTCTAGGATTCCAGTTCATATGCACATGGGTTGCTTCCAAAGAAAACACATTTACATGTGTGCCTTTGTAATCAGTGGGTGGCGTTGTTTTAGCTTTTGCTTTTTGTACTCCAAAAAGGTAATCATGATCGATTTTTTTCCATTGGATATGAACATTGGGTGAACATGGGAGCTTATTATGAAGAAATTGTAACAGAATAGACAACTATGTTGCTGAGGAAAAGGTCAAGAAAGTTGTACCAAAATTATTTTTCCCCCGTCATGACAATGCGTCTGCTCTTTTACTGTGGTTAGCAAGGGCAGTCTTAAGAAGGTATCATTGGGAAACCTTGCCCCATCAACTATGCGGCCTTAATTTTGTCTCTTCAGAATAATTTTGTTCCCCAAGCTCAAAAAACATTTAAAGGAAACATTATTTGAGACCTCTTTGGTTCTAAAATTGCTGTTATGGCGTGTATGAACCAAAGCACACAGAGCTCTTCCGAGAAAGATGGAAGAGGGTCAGAATACAGACCGATGTGGAGGAGATGCTGAGAAACAGCAGCGTCACGTTCTGATCTTTAGGTTTAATAAAGGTTTCTGTGATTTTATAACAATGCTTTTGACTTATCCTGGTGATATTCTGTCTTCTGTTTTACATAGTAATGTGTGACAGGATGAGGTTTGAAATTCATTTTTAACTAGTTTATTTTAACTCATGTTTTGTCTTTCTAAATATGGTCAAGATACCTACCCCAGTATATTTTCACTGTCTACCGGACCATATATTAAAATAGTTAACACCTTGTCTTAATCCTTAACCCTGAGAATTCTGAACTTCTCTTTCTAAAGTCAAAACTGAGAGAGTTCATAAGCTGTAAGGAGGCCAAGAATTAGAAAACAATTTGTCATAATGTGGTGATTCGAATATTGCTGTGATGCTGGAAGCTGTACTAATAGTGCTTCAAATACCAACAAGGTCCTCCATGGTGAACAGGTTTCAGTACAACTTCTAGACTAAGACTAAGAAGAAGGAATCATCAGTCCACTTCTGAGGCGTTATCCACTGAAGACATTGTGACTGGCAGTGGGGCATTGTCTGATACAATTCTGAAAATTATGCATAAGTTAAAAGACCCTCACAATATCACTGGTGTCACAATATGACTGGCCTTCCCAGACTGAATCTTAATGATGTGGATGGAGCTTGCAAGACCGTTAATTTGGAACTCAAAATGATTAAGAAATAGCTGCAAATGTCCACTGACAACCAGAGCATAAAATGTACGATATATAAATCTAGAAAAGCTGGAAATTATAAAAATGAAATGGAACCAGTAAAAATGATATAACAGGCATTAGTGAGCTGAAATGCACTGGTATTGGACCTTTTTAAATTAAACAATTAAAATTTTTAAATTTAAAAAACAAATTTATGATGCTGTTTATAACAAAGAGAAATGGCATCATATTTATCGTCAAATACATTTCAAGATCTAGCTCAAAGCTGCTTGTTATCACATCTGTATAACATCTGTATAACATCTTTATTACTACAATAGACCAATTAATACTTTGTTTTTTTTGTTAAGTGCCATTGAGTCAGTTCCCGCTCATAGGGGCCTTACTTACAACAAATCACACAGCTCGGTCCTGCCCATCAGTACACTTGTTGCTACTTTTGAGCCCATTGCTGTAGCCACTGGGCTAATCCATCTCCTTGGTGATCTTCCTCTTTTTCACTGTGCTTCTTTCTACTTTGCCAACCTTGATGTCCTTCTCCAGGGACTGGTCTCTCCTGATAAAGTGTCCAAAGGATGTGAGACAAAGTCTCGCCATCTTCTCATCCAAGGAGTCTTCTGGCGGGTCAACTTCCAAGGCAGATCTGTCTGTTCTTCCGGCAGCCCTTAGTGCTTTCAGTGTTCTTCGTCAGCTCTGTAATTCAAATGCAACAGTTCATCCCTGTTGGAAGAACTACAACCAGAATCCTTTGCAGCCAGGATATCAAGACTTCATCTCACAATCTTACAGCACCTAAGAACAAGAACAGCCTTAAAGGGACAACAGAATCCAGTGTTAATTTTAAATTCTTGGTATAAACGTCCATTGAGTTGGCCCATGATTAGAATCCAATCCTGCTGGATCCTGCACCATTCCCACCATTGCTTATAGAGCAAACCATTGTGATCCATAGGGTTTTTATCAGCTGATTCTCAGAAGGAGATCAAGTCTTTCTTTTTGATGTGACTTAGTTTGTGCTCTGCTTGTATTTGTTCAGCATCAGAGCGGACGGAAGGTGCTGGCCATTTGTGAGACATATTGGCCATTGATCAAACCAGAATTTCCTATATGGGGGTGAGAATTCTACCAGCGAACCACCCAAAAGCCCCATCTTAAATACTTAATGCTATTCGATCAACTAACAAAAATACTTACATATGCTTATTTTAGACAGTTAATGTGGTATTTTTAGAATGTAAATTGTTTAGAATAAAATTGTATTTTATTTTAGAATAATTTTGAATAAAATTTTTAGAATGTAAATGTAAAATTTAAGGGGTAGCTAAACATAACACCCAGAGTATTCTTTTTTATAAATTGTGTATTTAAGAGCAGCCTTTGAATCAGTATTTGATAAGAGCTATGCAGAATTCCTGTATTTTCTATGCAATAGCATAGATTAATTATTAGTCCAAATGAAACCATTGAGTGAATATAATAGATAAATCAATAGTGTATTTTATCTTTTTTTAGTTTGAAGAAAAAATTGCTTTAATGCCAGTTGCCATCAAATTGAATAAAACTCTTTGTGACTACAAGCTGTGTCAAAAAATGTCATTGGGTTTTCAGAAGTAGATCAGCAGACCTTTTGAGGCACCTGTGGGTAGACTTGAGCCTCTAATCCAGTGGTTCTCAACCTTCCTAATGCCACGACCCTTTAATACAGTTCCTCATGTTGTGGTGACCCCCAACCAGAAAAATATTTTCGTTGCTACTTCATAACTGTCATTTTGCTACTGTTATGAATCGGATGACCCCTGTGAAAGGGTCGTTTGACCTCCAAAGGGGTCGCGACCCACAGGTTGAGAACCGCTGCTCTAATTTTTTTTGTTTAGCAATCATCCTCATTAATAGTTGACAACTGCACACAATGAACTGTATACAGTTAATGTAAAATGTGGTCAGTTTCACCCAAAACATAACTCCCTACTCCACTATGGCTCCTCTATTTTTAAAAAAAGGGTATAAATATGGGGTGGGGGGTTGTTTACTTCTATTTTCCACGAACTTTTTGAAGCACCCTCGTATCTGCATCTATACTTTTTCTGTGAGTACTTCAGGTGGTCACCATTATCTCTCCTTTCTGTAGATTGGGCAGCTGGCCTTTAAAGGAATGAAGAGACTCAATAGAATCCAGTCAATAGTATTTGAGACTGCCTACAACACCAATGAGAACATGCTGATTTGTGCCCCGACCGGAGCTGGAAAGACTAACATTGCAATGCTTACAATACTGCATGAGGTTCGCCAACATTTTCAACAGGGTGTTATCAAAAAGAATGAATTTAAGGTAGGAAACTAACAAGCCAAACAATTTACTGTAAAATAAAAATGATTTGGCAGGTGAATGTTATATGAATTCGGACGTTTTTCAGTGTATTACATTTGCAGTCACGTAAAGAATGCTGCTTGCTTTGCTTCATTACTATCAAGGCAATCCCTATTTGTGGTATGAAATCCTATTAGCGCTGTGAAAAGCTATGAAAATACATTTATCTTTGAGGCAGAACCAATTTTCAAAGTGATGAGGCTGTATAAACAAATTCCATTGTCCTTTAAACAGCTGCACACTTATCCAACAAAGATAAGTAGTTTTCATATATCACTATTAAGACTTTTCACTCAAAGTTTCTAGAACCATATTTCACAATACATTGTGATTTGTCTTGGCTACTGTGAAGCAAATGGCACCCTAGTTTGTGCTCGTTCATCAAGCTAGTGTTTCTTTGGTACAGATTGTATATGTTGCTCCAATGAAAGCGTTGGCAGCTGAAATGACGAATTACTTCAGCAAACGACTAGAGCCGCTGGGCATCATTGTGAAAGAATTGACGGGTGATATGCAGTTGTCAAAATCTGAAATTTTACGAACTCAGGTATGTTGTTTACATAGATCTTTTCTGTAGTATCACGTTTTTGTTTGTTTTTTAAATCCGGTCATTGTGAAATTTTTAAAGCAACCAAAACTTGAGTAGTTAATAATACATAATACAAACATAATGAAATTATTGTATATGTAATTACTTCTTAGCTCTGCAATACAAAAATGATTTCTGCCGATACCTTGTTCTTGTGGTGGTCTTTCTACCTTCTGTGAATCTGGGTGTGTCTTGAATATTGTTAGATTCTATTTGTGTGTTTTAAGTCTACTAACAGTAAATGTTGCTCTTTTGAAACAGTAGTGAGTGATGCTGTGGATGAGACTAGAGTTAAAGGTTAACAAGATATCACTAGCCTTCCAAACAATTAATAAGGAGGGTTCAATGCATTATGAAAGTTTTTTCCATTCTTTATTTCATCAAATGGAGAGTTATTAAATCAAACATTACATATACCACTATTGGGTAAAATGGATAACAATAGAAATGGTTACAATCCAGTTTCTGCCATCAAGAATTGTACTTTCCAACAGTGTAGCTACAATATACATTAGCACCACATCTGGATCATTATTAATGATAAAGTGATGTTCACAGTGCTCTAAAAAGAAAATAATCGAGGATAGGATATTAATAGTTTAGTTCAAGGGGTTTTGATGATATATAGATGATACAGCTTTTGAAACAAGTAATGGATACTGTTTTAGAACGTTATGAATTCTAACAAATTTCTACAAACTTGCTAGTTTGCAACAGGAATTTATTCTTTAATAATTCTAGAGGCCTGGAATCCAAAATGAAGATGTAGGCAGGTTTGATTTGGAGAGGCTTCATGCCCCTCCCAGGTACTGGTAACTGCCACCAATCCTCAGTATTTATGGCTTATATTTCTATCACACCATTCTCTCCCTCTGTCTATACACTGTTTCAGATAGCTAGACATTATCTGATTTCTTTAGCACACTATGCTACAACATCCATATCTTCAGTGATCTCTTCATGAGGGCAAGTACTGAATAGGGTCATAACATAAGAACTAATTATTTTAGATTAGGACTATGATTGGCTGAAATCATGGAATATGAAAATCCATTCATGTGCCTATGGTTTATATGCCTCTGGTTCACTTTAGAGACATTATTACCATTTTATAATAAAGAACATTATAAATGATCCCCATAGAGCATGAGGGAATTCTTTTGATCTTATCATTAATTATAATTTTTTACACTTGAATAGAGCAGAATTTAAAACACTTGACAAAAGAAATTTATATGTGCATAGGCCAGCTTTTTAGACCACAGTTCATGGATTGTTGACTTGTAGAGATTAAACTCTATAAATGACAAGACATTATTTACACAAGTAAAGCTGGGGATAGGGCAAAAATTTCAACAACACTCATTCATTTAGGCAGAACCCGTGCCTGCCAGACTTAACACATGTCATAAAAACTAAGAAAGCATTCAAATAGTAAATGTCTGGTAGTCCGGGCCACTGTGCATTGGGCAAACTTAGAGCAAGAGATCCGAACCAAAGACCGATGACCGCCGGTTTCATAACCTGAGGGTAGCAGTCATGTGCTGCTTCTCACACTGGATGAAAACTTTTGAAGTTGGAAGGAGATGAAAAAATTGACCTAAACGTTTATTACTTTTTATTACTTGAAAGTCATTCCCTTAAAACTATAAAAGGTAAGTTTGGGTTTTGGCAGTTTTCACTGCTACCCAAATTCAGGGCTTTTACCCCTCTTTCTACTTTGTTCTTTTTGTGTGCATCTGCCATTAATAGGCTCATTTTATTAAAAATCCTGCATTCTTTTGTTCATTCCACATTCTTAGAAGTAGCAGCTTTTGAAATGTGACCCATAATCCTCTGGACATCACCAAGATCCTTTCAAGGCTCTACTAGGTTAAAAAATGGTTTCATAGTAATGCTAATATTTTGACATTTTTATCACTATCATTCTCTTATAAGAATATGGTAATGCTTACTAGAGGTTACCTAATATGTGTTACAAAGATTTCTCAGTCTCAGTTTCTAATGTAGGATTATTGTTAAATTATATTCAATGTAATACAAATTAATTGTAGTGTCAATAATATTAAGTGTGTAAAGGAATAGTCCCGGGAGCTATTGTTTGAGATCAGCTACTGTTGGTGAAAAAAATCCCTTATATTTAACAATGTATTTTCTTTACAGTCTACAACTGGCCATTTTCAAGTTTACCTCCCAAGGGCTCCACATTACAAACTAAAGTCAGACCGATTTTGCCTTTTTTTCTCTCCAAGATTTGCTAATTTGCTATTCTTTTTTAAATGTCTTCTTTGAGCCATTGAAATGTATGCAAATCATTCCCATTTTTCAGAACCCAGAAATGAGTGCTTTATTCCTTCTTGTGTCCTATATTTAATTTATATTCATAAAAGAAAACTTACTCCAACAAGTCTGCACTTTTTTTTTACTTTTATTGAGGGATCTTACATATCTTATCACAATCCGTACATTCATCCAGTGTGTCAAGTACATTTGTACATATGCTGCCATCATCATTTTCAAAGCATTTTCTTTCTACTTGAGCTCTTGATAGCAGCTCCTCATTTTCCCCCTCCCCCCCCACCTACCCACTCTCATGAACCCTTGATAAGTTATAGATTATTGGTTTCATGTCTTACCTTGTCCTCTGTTGTCCTTCACCCACTTTTCTGTTGTTTGACCCCCTGGGAGGGGGTTATATGTTGATCCTTGTGATCGATTCTCCGCCTACCTTCCTCTTATCCTCCTGTTATCTCTATTCTTATTGTTGGCCCTGAGGGGTTTATCTATCCTGGATTCCCTATGTTGTGGGCTCTTATCTGTAGCAGTGTGCATGTTCTAGTCTAATACAATTTGTAAGGTAGAATCGAGGTTATGATAGTGGGAGGAAGGAAGCATTAAAGAACTAGAGGAAAGTTGTGTGTTTCATTGGTGCTATACTGCACCCTGACTGATTCATCCCTTCCTTGTGACCCTTCTGTGAGGGGATGCCCAATGTCCATCTGCAACCTTAATTCTTAACACAAAGATATAAGTACATAGATCTATTTCCCTATCATTATATATAAATATATTTGCATATGTACATGCCTGTAAATGTCCTCTGCCTCCTGGTTCTTTCCTCTCTTTTCTTTTACTTTTCTTTTGTCCCACCATCATATTCGGCTTTCATTTGGGTTTAGTAATTCCTCGCTGCTACATTGCCCTTGATTAAGTCCCACTAGCATCCTTCACCCTTCTCTCCATTGATTTTAGTTCACTTGTTGTTCCCTTGTCCCTGGGTTGGGTCCTCCCCACTCCTTCCATTTTCTCACTTCCCTTTTGCCGTATCCCCCAGAGCCATTGATCCCATTCTTTTCATCTCCAAATTGTTGATCCCGCCTATCTTATCTAGATAGACATGCAGAGACATTTATAAGTGAAAAAAACAGGCAAAACAAAACAAAACAACAGAGGAAGTAAAAAACCAACAAAACAATAACAACAACAACAAAAAGCCACTGACAAAGATGAAAAGCCTATAAAAGTCTGCACTTTTGAACCTGCTGTTATCTTAGGAATCTGGATTACTTGCATATAAAATTCTAATTGTTCTAGTTAACTGTATCCAACTGTGTTACATTAATGAAAGAACGTTTATAAAAAAGAAGTGGCATTTAAATTGAAATTTTGAGCTGATCACTATACTCAGTGCATATATATACCCTTATTTACAACTCATAAGAACCCTATTGGGTAGTGTCACCATTTTATAGATAAAGGAATTAAAACTTATAGAAATTTATGTAGGTTTATTTTTTACAAAGGTGTATGAATCTATCCTCTCTCGACCTATGTGCCTGTCTGCATTTTGCTACTCTAATCTGTATTATTTGTCAATAGCAGTTATGCCTATAACTGTATGTGCAGGGAGCACATACATGGCCTTAGTAGAGTAGTTTATAAGTTGACTTGAACCTCATGTGTCATCTTTATTCTCCTCCAATATAGCCCTACCATAGTGATACTAAATTCTCTAAATTAGAAACTACATAGGTAACTACCTTCGTCCTGTCCTGCCTAGTCTCATAGATTCTCACAGATTAAGACCATGTTGTTGTCACTACCTTCAGAAACAGCAAAGCAGAGGGATAATACAAAGTATTGTGTGCTCACCTCCATGATACGATCGCTGAAGACAAGTGGGTGCATAAGCAAATGTGGCGAAGAAAGCTGATGGTGCCCGGCTATCAAAAGATATAGCGTCTGGGGTCTTAAAAGCTTGAAGGTA